TTTGGCTGGTCCAGTCAAGAAGATTATTTGGCGTTTCGAATGGCCCTACTGCAGAGTGCAAGTCATTTTCACCGTCTGAAACATCAAATTCTATCCGGAAGCAGCACTGAATTATACCTAGTCAGATGAGATTGTTTGGTACTCCTACATATAGTTCTTCTTGAAAAGGTTTTGTTCTATTCCTAATCAAATATTTAAAATTTGACTAAGTTTGTAGAAAACAGTACCAATATTTTTTTACCCTGATTTAATATACTACATAAATATATTATATGATAAATCTAATACTTATTTGGTATGATAACTATTGATTTCTTTTTATAGGTCCGTTCAAAATTGAGAAGGCTGGATTTAGTACTACATAATGAATTCCATTCTTTTCTATAGAACGAGAGAGTAAGATATTAGTTTACGGTAATGCTACGCGTCTTAGGTCCGACACAAGCAAATCGTCGGACACCCCGCGCCTCCATGGCCTCGTAGCTTTCTCTTTTACTCGGCCGCTCGCTCTGCCCACGAGTTTATTAAAAATCACCCATCCTTATCCCTTCCGCTTCCTCCTCCTCCCAGTCATATGCTTTGCAACTGCTTTCGGTCCTAAACGCGATCGCACTCCCCCGTCGTTGCCACGCACGCCCCTTCATCACCACATTGCTCTCGCTGCGTCGTCGCGTCGCCTCTCGCCTCTCTCCCACACGCTGCGTTGGTTACGGTGGTGCTCACTTCCGCCTGGTGTGCTGGCCTGCCTTACTTACCACCCAATTTCAAGCCCGTCTTTGGTGTCACTGCTTGCTCACGTCATCTCGGTACTAGATGCTAGTGGTGCTCATTATTCTACACACCACTGCCACTCAATCTCACCTCTTTGACGACTGAATTGACCGGCATAGGCCCTCCCCGTCCCCTATGTTGCAAGTATATGTTTCAAGTGTTTTAGACGTTCTGAGGTATGTTGTAGTTATTTCATATGGATGTTGCATATGTTGCAAGGATTTCAAAGACATGTTGCAAAGTTTGTTTAAAATGTTTCATCTGTTCCAGACATATGTTGCAGGCATTTTGATTTGGATGTTGCATATGTTTCACACATATGTTGCAACAGTATGTTCCAAATGTTTCATGTGTTCCAGTCTTCCGTTGTAGCAAGTGTTTTCATGTTGCAAGTTGTAAGTGTTCTATCTGGATGTTGCATATGTTTTCACACATATGTTGTAAGTGTATGTTCCACTGTTTCAGACGTATGTTTCATTCAAGTGTTTCATATTGCACATATTTCATGTTGTTCGTAGAGTCAAGAGGCGCGGGAGAGTGATGGTGGCATGGCACGGGCGCCGGGGAATGGGGTGCAGCAAGCCAGTGGTCGACGGACGTGGCGCGCGGCACACTGGGGGGGTCGGCGGTCAGGGGCACGACGGGCGGGCCTGAACGGATGGGGGCGGGGTGCACGTATGGGGGCGAGTCGAATTGAGGCGGACGGGGCGGGTTGTGAGCGAGTCGTACGGACGCGACACGCGTGCGGACATGGCGAATTAGCACATGGGAGGCAGACTGTCCAGGCGCGCACGGGAAATGGCTGTCCGATGGAATCCTATCCCATCGGATGTCTAGGCGCCAGCACGTCCCATTAGTTTAACGTTTGACTCTTGATACCTCTCAAGGACCCTGGGGCTCTATTACCCAAGACCAATATACTCCTTCCATCCCCAAAAGACTGCAATTCTAGAGCAGTATCATATTTTAGTATACTAAGTTTGACCAATTATAGATAAAAAATGTATAAATATTTACAATATCATTAGATTAATTACGAAATGTATTTTCATAATAAATTGATTTGGTGTCATAAATGTGAATACTATTACTGAAAACTTTGAAGCACTTTAACCAGCACGTATAACATTGCATTCTTGTAGGAACAGACCTGCTACTTCGTAATCTACGATGATACGAGGCAAAACATTTGACCTGGCCAAAGTGAAATTGTTTTGCTTGCTGTTCTGTCCACGGATACTCCTACAAAGCCATGGCCATGGCCATGCATCTTCATCTTTTTTTTCACCTCTTATCTGGATACAGCTGTAACATCTGTTCGTATACAGACACACACCTACACCATACACACACGAACACCACACTCACACTAGTAGTACACGAGCGGACCTATAACTAAAGATCACCAGTAACCACAGGTATGCAACTTCTATCTGTAAATCTAAAGATATGATTTGGTGTATACACTCGGGGTGGCCACGTCGCCGCTTTTCAGCTGTACGATTCACGTTCGACGGCATGTGAGATATATATTAAGCGAGCAGCGTGCGTTTTACAAAAACCCCTTTAAGTTTTCGAAATCAACCCGCGCCAGACGTCCTCTCGGTAATTTTTACAAAAACGCCTCGTATTATTTCCAAATCAACGCTCGATCCGATAACGGATGGGCACTGGTTTGTTTGCAAAAAAGACCTCCACTTTATCGAAAATCAACCCACGCTCCCCAGACACTCTCACCGTTTTTTGCGAAAACATCCTCAGATTTTTCTCAAATCAAAATACAGCCCAACTTTGATTATATTTTTTTTTTCTCCTAAAAATACGTATGGCCAGTGAACCGCGCGCATGGGCGCGTCCGAAAAACTAGTAAAGAAAGAGGGAGAAAGGTTAGAACCTCTGTGCCTGTACTTGCAGTGACGTTGTGAAAAATGAAAAGCGTGCATGGTCTCTGCGGACCACGTGGGCCCATAGGTACGGGTCCAGACACAGTCCTTTGGTTTCTTGTGCCTGTAGCGGACGGCCCCACGCACGGCTGCTGATGCTGATCACCCACAAGGGATTGTTCACGAGTTGTGGACCTGACCATGACGTGACCTACACTTAACGCCATGTACGCTCACTCTATTTTTTCCCCTTTTTCCTTTTCCTTTTATTTTTCTTGTTATCGCTGTCCGTCACGGTCCTCTACTCCTCTACTACTCCGTAATGCACTGCGAGCCCCAAACGAAAATTGATCATGTGCAGAAGCTTTTGTTTTCTCTCTGATTACATGATACCCATGAATACAAATATACGCAAACTCTATCTTAATAGACATGTTCGAAAGATGGAGCCGACAAATTCCAAATTTAACAAAGTCACCAAAAGATATCTCATTATCGACGAATATGTCATTGTCTACCACTAAAAGTCGCTATTAAATTTAGGGAAATATGATCAGTCGTGTCAAAGACAAAAACTTAAATCTATTGAACAAGTTCCGCCACAAAGAACCAACTGACTTAGACATGCTTAATTCGCGTGCAGATGCTTTGTTAATTACTCGAGCTATCCAAGCTCTTCCTTTCTTTGTTTTGCTAATAAAACAGAAAAACTACGGTAAACAGGGACTCTTTTTTAAGCTTACATCCGTGGCAATTGCAAATTTTACCATTGGTTTGTTAAACCTTTAATGCAACCTTAGAATTGCACGACCATATACTACCTAGAGCTGTCAGACATTTTTGCAAAAAAAACAAAGTGTGGGTAAATTTGCAGATAACACCTTGCATTTTTGCTCGAGTTGATTCGTTAATTTGTGCCTTTGCAATTCCCATGCCACCGATCATTTCCTCCGGTCGCAGGCAAGGCAATCTAGCGAAGCCCGACAAGGACAAACTGTATCTGCCAGCAATGAGCCAATGCATGATGTACGGGTACGGCGCATGAGATGAGATCGAACCTGAATCAGGTAGAATAGAAACTAACGCAGCCCCCGGCCATAAACATTATTTTTCACTATTTAATTAGGTGTAATAATGCTAAAGCTTGTGCTAGCTACTAGGCATCTGCAATACAGTTGTATATATGCCCATGTTTAATAAGACTATAAGAGAGATAGATACAGTAGTTGTTACTACACATGTGTGTTGTGCCTGGTTAGACGTCGTACGGACTGCCAAATTGCCATATATATAGGATTAGGATGTGATAAGATTGATTGGGCTCTGTGAAAAAACAAGTTGGCTTTTGCTTTGCAGTAGGAAGTGGTTGGTGAGCAACCTGAGGGAAAGGGAAGAAAGCAGGGCCCAAGGGAACATAGGTAGCTGTCCCGGCGTGTTGCTGTTGCCCATGCTTTTATGTTCCCTTTTAATTTAGTGTCCTTAATTGCACCGTAATACTAAGATGGCATGCATGTCAGCAGCAGCATGTGTAATGCTTATTTAACCACAAGTTCGTAAGAATGGTAGTAGATGGATCGAATGTTCCAGGTCAATGCGTTCATTATACATGCAAGTGCAGTACATTGGTCGTATATACTACTAATAACCATTAACCTCAGTAACCTTTGATGATCCTTTGTATATATTATCCCAATGTATTCAGAAACATTGTTTTCAACTGCATCATTGGTCACATGTCAAGGAACAACGGCCACACACATTTAGTTTTTTTTTAGAGAAATGAATAAAGTAACACAACGCTTGCTCATGCTAAAAAAACAAAATAACACAATGAGAGAGAGAGAAAGAGAGATTACTGCTCTACTGCTCTTGATCCAGGCAAATTTTGAAGAAAAAAAAGCATGCACCTATACAACTTACAACTCACAAATTCACAAATTTATATATGTGTCAACAAAAAGAAAAGAAAATAAAAGAAAAACGCAAAGACAAAAAAATGAAGACACAAGAATAAAGATACTATCAAAACTCAAACCAAAATCTACCTAATTAAATTACACTGCCTCTCCGCTTATTCCCCTTACAACCCCTTCCCACCATGATCAACTACAACTACTGATCCATTTCCAAAATATAATCGCATAATCTCGCAGCTACCTCGCTGGCTGATCGATCAGATCATACACAACCTTGCTTTCTCTTTCGGTCCTTCCCTTGCTGCACTCGCCAAGAATTAATCCAAATTGGTGGTTTCCTCCAGTATTTCTCCTCACTGTATCGTTGATCGCCATCGCAACATGCCATTGTGAATCATTATTGTTTGCGACGATGGAGATGAGGAGACGATCAATGGAAGTGCTGGTGGTCGGCCCACGGCCAGAACGGCGGCGGCTCGTCGACGCCGCACAGGAGGTTGCCGAAGCTGGCGGTTTCCACGGCGCCCTGGACGCCGCCGCCGTTTCCGTGCGGCTCCAGCTTGGGGCCGGAGGTGTGCAGGAGCTGATCGATGTCCACGCCAGCAGCAGCGGCAGCAGTAGGTCGGCCGCCGATGGAAGGGTAGAAAGGGATCAAGCCGCAGGCGCCGGCGCCGGCACCCGCGGCGCGGTGGTGCTGGTGCTGGTGCATCGGCGGCGGAGGGTCCATGGAGCCGTCGGACGCCGGCGTGCGCGAGATGTCGAGGTTGATCTCGGAGCTGTTCTCGCTGCGGTTGCTGCAGGACGCCTCCGTCTCCTTGTTGAGGTTGATCAGCTCCGACGACCCTGCCTCCCTGCCGCCCTTCAGCGCCACTATCTGCATCAGAACCGATCCATTGTTGGCTGTTAGTATGTATAAATGTTCTGACCCAACCACAATGCAGCATACAATGGGCATTTGTTGATGTCAAAGTTCCAGAGAGATGATCCTCTAATCAGTGATCACTACTGGTTCACTGCAACTTTTATTTTTTTTCCATGGGGATCAAACAGGGGGCTAAAAGTGAGTAAATAGCTAAAACCTTTTGCTTTCAAAGAGACTCTAAACTGGACTAAACTCTCTCGGGGCGGGCGCTGGATGCCCCATACACCTTGCCATTCGCATGTATGGTTGTGCATGGATAATTAAATGAGGATAAATCAGTCATCGTAGATTAGAGGACTAAAGTTTAGCCCATGAATCCAAATAGCCCAATAGGACTAAACTTTAGCGGCTAAACTCTAGTCTTTGGACTAGTGATCCAAACACCACCCTTTTAGCGGGGACACTTATTCTTGCTACTAGCTGCTGGTAGTACAGGCTTGATGCTGAGATTCTTGGTACTATAGTGCACGGCACGGTCCCAACTGAGTGTCGTAGCGTCTGATAAAAAACAATCAGTAGTAACAATCAGTAGTACGTACAGTACATTTGCAAGCACTTGGATCCCAATCATACGAGTACTAATTGTGGCAAAAGCTGTGCAACGTAGTACAGTGCGCAAGTCATTTGCAGTGCAAATCCGACGGAAAAAAGCTTAAAAAGCAATGGCGCAGACGCATGCATAGGAGTACTCTCTGCGACGAGGCACAGAGATGAGAGATGAGGACCGGGACCGGAACGGCCATGATGAAGCCATTGACTGCGCCAGCCGCAGCATCTTCCTCGCTCAAGACTCGACGCAGCTCTGCCTGCATATCTGCTGCTGACCTATCCAAAAGCCACTCTCTCTGGCTCTCTGCCTTTTGCAGTTGCAGCAGCAAGATTCCACAAAGTCCACAAAGGCAGGCAGGGAAGGGCCAGGCGGTGGTAGTACGTGTACGGGCGCAGGCGATGAGGCAAAGGCAGGTGAAAAGGCTGCAGCGCCCCAAGGCAGGCCGGCGAGGGCGACGCGACGCGACGCATCCAACAACCTTTTTCTGCTGCGTGCACTGAAACCCACATGGATCCCAGCTGAGCTGAGCCGTCACCCACCAATCATTGAGCTGGGAAGCCAGCCATGGACCGACCCACGCCCGAATCAACATCGCGATGCGGATCACAGTTCACGCACGCTTCTAGCCTAGATCCGGGATGCGGCCGCGACGGCGCCGGCGAGGATCAGTCGACGCAGCAAATAGATGAGGTGATGATCGAATTGTACAGTACGTTACAGACCTCGGCCTGGAGCTTCTTGTTGTGGGAGAGGAGGGCGTCGTTGTTGGCCTTGACGGCGTCGAGCTGGCGCTTCAGCGCGTCGTAGTCCTTCTCCAGCTGCTTCGTCTTCCACCGCGCGCGCCGGTTCTGGAACCAGATGGCCACCTGCCGCGGCTGCAGGCCAAGGGCACGCGCCAGCTGCAGCTTCCGCTCCGGCTCCAGCTTGTTCCCGAGCTCGAAGTTCTTCTCCAGCGTCCGCACCTGCTCCACGTTCAGGCGACGCTTCTTCTCCCCGGCCTGGGAGCCGTCGTCCGACAGCTCGTCCTCATTCGCGCCGCCGCCGTTCACCTCGTCGCCTCCGACGACGACGTCCACGCCGTACATCGGACGCTTCCCCAGCATTGTTGCTATACCTGCATCAACCAACCACAGGCGGCAGCGCATGTCAGGACCAGCGGATGGATGGATCGATCGGATTAGTCGTTGGAGTGATCGATCTGCGCGTGACCTCGGAAGTCTTGCAGGGAGGGGCATTGAGAGGAGGGGAGGAACGGGTTGTGGTGAGGACGATGAAGGGGAGGAGCCGCAGGGAGGTGGTGCTCATGGTGGTGGTGGTGGTGATGGTGGTGCTGTTCTTGGGGGTCATGATCGGAGGGTGTCTGCTGCATTTGGAGGAGGAAGTTTGGAGGGAACAAGGGCGAGGGTGAGGACGCCATGCCATTGCTGGCCATTGGCCTCATCCAAGGAGGAGGGCAAGGCGCATGGGCAGTATTTGAGAGAGAGAGAGATCTAGCTAGCTGAGAGCCTGAGAGAGAGAGAGAGAGAGAGAGAGTGGCGAGGAAATGCAATGCAACTATAGCAGGGGTGGTGGTTGTTATAAAAAGAAAAGAAAAACTGAGACTATGTTTAAAAAAACTTTTCAATAAAATCAAAATAAATTCTAGGGGTCCCTTACACGACGACATTCACTTTTGCTATAGAAAATGGTACAAGGGTAATATGAATTTACAAGAAAAAATTACTTCATATGTTCAAAATTATAGTTCATTTTATCTTCTTCTGAATCAAATTTCTCTAATTGTAACCAAGTTTACAGAAAAACGCATCAACATTATATTAGTTTCATAAAAAATTCCTGGACATATGTCTTGATATATAGCGTGTTTGCTTAAACCAGTAGATGTGTTCATACACTTTTCTTAAAAAAATATTTAAAATTAGAGAAATTTGACTTAGGTCAATACTAAAGTGAAGTACAATTTAGAATGGAGCGAGGAGTATATCATAATCCTAAATCCTATGTTTTTGTATCTTGGGAAAAAAATATAGCCTAGGTTTTTTTTAATTTCTTTAAGAAAATACTAGTGGGCAGCTGGCTCAAGGGCAAATAAGGAAATAACTTCAAAGGCTAACCCTCAAAATGACTAGGATCCTAGCTAGATTCTACTGTTCCTTTTATCTTCTTTGTGTAGAACCTACATTTTCTTGATGCAACTTTTTCTTATCTTTCCGATGTCCTTTTTATTGCTTTATCCTTACTGAATGATCCTCTACCCATACTACAATACCAAAAGGATAAGTAGACGCCTGTGTTGGTGGTTAATGATCGCAAAGGAGAGGTATAGTATGAGGGATTGTAGAATGGTAAGGGATTGGCACTAGGAAAACACACAAAAACATTGACTCAACGCATTGCACAAAATGTGACTACAAGTTGACAAGAATCTACAACAACAACAACATAGCCTTCCAGTCTCAAGCAAGTTGGGGTAGGCTAGGGTTGAAACCCACCAAGAGCCCCAAGTTACGGTTCAGACACTTCAATAGCTGCTTTCCAAGTACTCATATTCAAACATAGATCTCTAGGTATATCCCAAGCTTTCAAATCTCTTTTTATTGTCTCCCCCATGTCAATTTCGGTCTTCCTCTATCTCTCCTCATATTATTAGCTTGGCTTAGGACTCCACAATGCACTGGTGCCTTTGGAGGTCTCCTTTGGACATGGCCAAACCACCTCAACCGATGTTGGACAAACTTTTCTTCAATTAGTGCTATCTCTAGGCTAAAAGCATCTAGGCCCCTTTGTTGGGTTTCGGTGATTAATGACAATACAAGATTACTATGACTAACGTGTGTTTTGCAGAGGCAATTAAGTTAGGTCATAGTAATGGAGATCGATTGGGCAATCGAGATGGTCATGCCCCTACGATGGAAATCGTTTCGGTTTTCAAATGATGGACGACAAGGTTAAGGATGACTAGTTCTAAGTGTTGATTGGAGTTGGAGTGACACTTAGAATAGTTTAGGACTTTGTTTTTCTTTTGGCCATACTATTAAGGGGGGTATGGATGGGTAGCTTGACCTAGATGAGTCTAGTGAGTTAGGTGTGGTGCACACTTGTTTAAACTAGCTCTAGGTAGCTCCTACATATGCCTAAGATCCAATGGAGCAAACTTCATTCACACATGATCGAGAGTTGAAGGTGAATGGAGGGTCAAATACTGACCGGATGCTGGCTCCGGTGCGACCGGACGCTGGCCGCAGGGTCCGGTCAGTTTATTTGATCAAGAGATTGCGTTCGGTGCGACCGGACGCTGGAGTGGTCAAGTGACCGGACGCTGAGAGGCAGCGTCCGGTCGACTCCAGTAAGGTTCCAGAGAAGGGAATCTGCGACCGGACGCGTCCGGTCAGTACTGACCGGACCCTGGGGGTTTATCGTCCGGTCGAGTACAGTAAGGATCCAGTGAGGGTTTAATGCGACCGGACGCGTCCGGTCAGTGGTGACCGGACCCTGACAGCGTCCGGTCAACACATTATCACTGGTTTGCGAGTTGAACTGACCGGAGCGTCCGGTCAGAATGACCGGAGCGTCTGGTCACCCCGCAGAGGCACATAACGGTTCGTTTTTTAGCCGCTGTTATAAATACTTCACCCCTTCGTGTGAGGGGGCACTTTTGCTCATTCCAACAGCCGAGAAACACACTTGTGAGTGCCAAGAAGAGCAAGGTCCTAGTGAGGTGTTTGTGATTTGAGAATCTAAGAGTGAAACCTCATTAGTGAATCAAGAGTAGCAAAGTGTGCATCTATCTTCTTATTAGGCTTCGCGTGGTCAAGTGAGAGTTCGTGCTTGTTACTCTTGGTGATCGCCATCACCTAGACGGCTTGGTGGTGATTGGGAGTTCGGTGATCATCCGGAGAGCTTGTGGGTGACCCGACTCAAGATTGTGAGCGGTTGTGGGTGATTCACCGCGACGAAGTGTCGAAGAATCAACCCGTAGAGAGCACTTGATACTTGCGCGGATCAAGGGGGAGCTACACCCTTGTGCGGGTGTTCCAACGAGGACTAGTGGGGAGTGGCGACTCTCCGATACCTCGGCAAAACATCGCCGCGTTTCCTCTCCTCTCTTTACTTTGAGCATTTACTTTAAGTATTACTTTGAGCAATTCAATTCTTGTCATTTACATTCCTAGAATTGCCATACTAGAGTAGGCTTGGAACTTAGGTTGCAAGTCTATTTGTGCGATAGAACATTACAAACACTTTCTAGGCACAAGGGGTTAATTGGACTATCAATAGGATTTAATTATTGAAAGAAAATTTAGAATTATCCCAATTCACCCCTCTTCTTGGGCATCTTGATCCTTTCATAGGTGATCACGTATATCATCATTCCGAACTCGGTCCATTCTTGTGTGACCGCAAATCCATCACAACATACGTATTTTTGCAACACTCAGTTGTTGAACATGTCGAATCTTTATAGGCCAATATTCTGCTCCATACAACATAGCCGGTCTAATCGTCGGTCTATAGAACTGGCATTTTAGCTTTTGTGGTACCCTCTTGTCATAGAGAATGCCAGAAGCTCGTCGCCACTTGATCCACACTGCTTTGATTCTATGGCTAACGTCCGCATCAATATCTCTATCCCTCTGTAGCATCGATCCCAGATACCGAAAGATATCCTTCTTAGGCACTACTTGACCTTCCAAACTCACATCTCTCTCCTACTGTATAACTCCACCAAAATCGTATCTCATGTATTCGGTTTTAGTTCTGCTCAATCTAAAACCTTTAGACTGAAGGCTCTGTCGCCATAACTCTAGTTTCCTATTTACTCCCGCCTGGCTTTCGTCCACTAACACTACATCATCAGCGAACAACATACACTAAGGGATATCCCCTTGTATGTTCCTGGTAACCTCATCCATTACCAAGACAGAGAGATACGGGCTTAAGGTTGACCCTTCATGAAGTCCAATTTTAATCGGAAAGTAATATGTGTTACCATCGTTTGTTCGAACACTAGTCACAACATTGTTGTACATGTCCTTGATGAGGGTCACGTACTTTGATGGGACTTTATGTTTGTCCAAAGACCACCACATAACATTTCTTGGTATCTTATCATAAGCCTTCTCCAAGTCAATGAAAACCAAGTGGAGGCTATTCTTCTGCTCTCTAAACCGCTCCATAACCTGTCTTATTAAGAAGATTGTTTCTGTGGTTGACCTTTACCTTTTCTATAATGTTGACAAGAATCTAATAATTACAAATGTTTTCATCGGAAAGCTGCATTGATGATGGCCCAATGACAGTGTACACATGATTCCAACTTGATGAAGAAATGAGTAGCGTATCTCACTCCATCGTAGGCGGCAGTAGCGCAATTATGCGTGCTTTACATGCATCTGAGAGAACTTAAAAGTAGCAAGAGGTGTTTGGAAAGTCAAGTGCAATGCTTGGGGGGAAATAATGGGTCCAGGGCATCACCTCTATCTACTAGTTTGAACCCTTTTCATTCATAGCTACTAGATGCTACATAAGCATTTATTAGAAAACCAGGGCGCCATTATTCAGTCATTTCGGATGTTGCATGCCCGATAAACAACAAGCAGAGGCGGAACTAGAAATTAGTAAGTACCTATGTGGGGAGTGAAGTGCTAATTAATTAATAAATTTTCAGAGGGAGAAAATTTCAAAAAATTAAAAGAAAATATATATGAAATTTCACGTGCATAAGAGGAGTGCACCAAGTCTTGACGCCCATCTAGAAGCAAGCGTGGGTTGTTCGATGAGGCCACGCTTCCCTAGTGCCACTAGCTACGCTGCAATGCACGGACACTCATGGTCTAAACTTGCAGACACAAAGTCAGTGCTACTTGATATGTATAGGATGTTGTGCTCTCCTTCCTAGTCGTGGTGTTGTAAGTTTTATGTGTAGGTGTTGGCCCATTGGTGTCCACTGGGGGGTTAGAGCCGTTAGTCACTACTGTGCAAGGCTCGACAACAATGGCATACAGTGTTTTTTTTTTCTAAAAAATGTACTACAGTTGTCATATTTTAAACCCATCCGTTCCAAATTGTGAGTCGTTTTTTTGTTGCTTTTCTAACTACATTGCTTTTACTGTGTGTTTAGACATAACATATATCTCTGTACACAATAGAAATCATGTACCTAGAAAAGGTAAAACGACTTACAAATCAGAATGGAGGGAGTACCTAATTTCCTTTATAAACCAGATTTATGTTTTGGTAAGTGATGAATTGCAGGAACTCGTTGCCCTCAAAAAGGTTTTCTTGGAAGTTTGGCACCCACACGCTTGGCAGTTTGGCGCGCACACGTACACACATAGTTGTTGGTACAGCTGACCGTGAGCTAGCACTAGCTAGCAGCGTGCACCAATACGGGGGCTTCGAACGTTTCATGTGTAGCGTAGGTGACGCCGA